ACCAGTAGATTGATGGCATCACTACCAGTAGCCTAGCAATAATCTATGCCCAAGTAACGCAGGCCGCTTCTGAGTAACAGTACAACAAAGTACTAGATACTCTGACGATCGTACGGCTGTTTTACAAAGTCACAAATTGCGCCAGTAAACGAAAACCGAAAAGACCAAGGGCCAAATTACAACAGTGGAATGATTTTGCAATAAAATACTGGGCTGCTTTGAAGAAAGCAAAGAAAACAGGGCATACTTAGTCCTTGGCCAATTTTACTGAACGCATTTGCGGACTTGTCGGGATTTTGATTACTTCGAATCGCTTCCTCAACTTCTTGCAGCGCCATATCTGCAGTTTTCCGCTCTGGCTTGATAATAGCCACCCTTGAATGCTGTATGCTGCAAAAAACGCAAAATTCAAAGAGAGGCCACACACGCGTCACAAGTATGTTAAAGAATTTGCATATATTGGTTACATCGCCCAGTCGCATTTTATCATGATCTAGGAGTAACAAAGTTCGAGGTGAGGCAATGAAGCTCGGCACACATCCCAGTACATTCTAGAACGACTTCAGCCTTGCCAAGAATCATTTTCAGTGGAATCGTTGAGCTGGTAACCTCTCCAGGAGAAAAATGAACGGCAAGATCGATAGCATAGTAATCCGCAAGTTGTGCAGGACTGGTCAAAGCGGGTGAAAAACCAAATGCATACATGAGAAACTACAGCAGTAATTAATAGCAGCTCCAGGAGTTCGATGCGCGCTGTTTCAGACAACACGAAATTTTTATCTTACTTCTCTCTACTAGCAATCTTCGGCTGTTTTCCATTCTTCTCAAAATCTCTTCCGCCGGTGCAACGTAACGGGTACTTGTGGTTATGGAATGGGTGCTTACGATGCCTCAGAATTGCCTGACTATGCGATGTTCCCGTAAGATGAGTAAATGTATTGGCTGCAGTTTGCTGGAGCAAAAATCAACAATTCGAAAGTTTAATTCACTGCTCCATTAAATACCATTCCGAATAATTCTGTTTTTCAGATGCATGCAAGACATCAAACTAATGATGACGTCTCAAATCTCGGCTAAATTCCGACTACAAATCCCGAAGACACCCTAACAATTTCTTTTTATGCGTTTTGTGCTGAGTAACAGCAGTACAAAACGCATATTCTCACGGGGTTGTTTGTGTGTGTGTGTGCCCGCAGCAACTTGTCCGCAACTTTCAATTCGGGAACCACAAAAGCTAGAAAACTGGAGATTTAGGGCAACGTCCTCCACCCACGTGTGACCCCGCAAATTTAAATTCAGCTACCCCATACCCGCGAGTAACACGTAAAAGTTTGGGCGGGTAAAATTATTATCATGGGAACCACGGAAGCTAAAGGGCTGAAACTTTGTGGGCATGTCTTCTACTCACACGCAACCCAGGAAATTTAAACTCATCTTTGCCCTGCCCGCGGGTAACGTGTACGGCCCCGTGAAAATCTTTGACGGGTAAATTATTATCTCGAAAAGCACCGAGTCTAGGAAGCTGAAATTTTAGGGTACTGACCCCCTGCTTACGCTTGACCTTGCTTATTCAAATTTAGCGTTCCCCCGCTCTCGGGTATCACCTACGGCTTCGTAAAAAATTTTGCGGGAAAACTGTTATCTAGGAAACAAGAAAAGCCAGGAAACTGAAATTTTATGGTAGTGTCTTCTGTCAACATACAATCCTGTAATTCCGTTCGAGTACCACTTATGTCCCGTGGAAGTTTCGGCGGGGAAAATTATTATCTTGGGGACCGCGGAAGTTGAGAATCTGAAATTTTCAAATGATCTCCTTTACAAACGTATGACCTCACAAATTTGGACTCAGCCTTCATGCACCCATAGGTACCACGTACAGCCCCGTGAAAGTTTTGACAGGGAAGTTACTATCTCGCGTGCATGAAATTTTAGTAAAAAATTCTGCAACTTTAGAACCAAACAACATTTTAACTAGTTTTGCATACACTGAAGTGCAAAGCAGTGCAAATCATTAGCAGGCAGTCGCTCGGTGAACAGAATTGCACAAAACGCATGACCGCATCGGCTGCCGTGGTGTGCGCCGCTATTTATTTTAATTTTTGATAAATTTCTGCGGCTTACGATGTCTTCATTTTGTACTTAACCTCCCTGGGGGGAAAAAACGAGGAATTCTCTCTCAATTCTTGTGTATTTTACGGAAACAAAAACTGGAGAAATACGGACAGTTTTCATGTACAGCAAGAAGACAACTGTATCAGTTCAAAAGAGAACATTCTATCTTAAGCCTCGGCGCGGTACTTTGGAATGATGGTGGCTGGTATGTGCACTGCTGAACAGAATTAGATCGAGAAAAGCAAACCGTAAACAGCGTCCTTTGAACTCAATACCATTGTTTTGCAACGCAATTGGCACTGTTGGCTGATTGGTGAACTCGATGTATGCATAGGCACAGGGCAAATTCTCGGTGCCCGAAGTCATTCGCAAATACATCACCTAAAAATTTCAATTAAGTCATCCATGTAGAACTGATGCCCCAAGGCAAATCCATAGCCCAGGGTCTAGCCGCTATGTGATCTAAGCGGTGGCAGGGCTTCGTCCAGAGCGTGGCTAATGGGGGCCACTGCTAGCACAAATAGAGCAGGAGAAAGGGTGTCGCCCTGAAAGACCCCAAGGCAAATCCTCAGTTCACGGCTGGAAGCATGACCTCTTCGCCGATTCAGCACAAAGCACGTGCTCCATCTGCGCATGAGTCGCTGGACAACATGCTGTAACTTCATGGGAGCGTTTATACTATCCAGAACCCAGATAATATAATCGTGCGGCACCGAATCGAAGGCCTTCTGGAAGTCAATCCAGGCCATGCTTAGGGGATGCCGCCGCTGTGCTGGCGCGTCCATAACCATCGCCCTGTCGAGGAAGTGCGCGTGTGTGCAGCTCCAATTATTTAATGAAACGGACCAGTAGTTGGCTACTGCTCAATTTACACTCTGCCTAGCAGTTAGTTCAGCGTACCTGGACCTTTTCAACCAATGGGTCAACCGACATGTTCAAAAAAAGTACTTTCAAATCGTCTTATATCAGCTGCCAATAACTGTGGGACATACTTAAATGCTCTCATGCGTTTCTCTGGAGTCTAATGACAGTATGGTAAATGCTGTATGATCATGGCTGCATTATCTGTCGTTCAGTTCAGATTTGATCGCGACCTCCACCACCTGGCACTTTTTATGTGCTTTTGGACATTTATGTAAATCCAAAAGGAATATTGACGAAATGTGTATACGTATGTGTATGTATGTGCATCTGTGTATGTATATTTGCATTTTTGTCACCCACTTTCAACTCAACAATTGGTGAATCTAAAAAGCTGAGATTTTTGGAGCATTTTCCCACTCCATGTGCGATACTCCATTTTTTAAAACCACTGTTCCCGTACGCTTGGCATTATTCTTACAAAGCAATAAGTACCCAAAGCTCCAATTAGAATAGCAACATTCGAATTCAGTACTGTACTTAAAACTAAAATCTGCTAGTGTAGCAAATGCCCGGCGCATAATTTGCACCATCTGATGCAAAATATTTTCTTGGAATCTGCCCCCGTGCAGGATATTTGCATAAAATGGTGCATATAAAAATGACAAGATTATTCGTGTAGAAGTCATTTACTAGCCAAAAACTGTCAACGAGCAGCAGCCGACTGCTCTCACTCCGAATGGCGGTGCAGCTGGAAGAGCGGTCGGAATCCGCATCACCTCTTGTCACTTGTCGGGATGAGTTCTTGCTCAGTGCACGGTGAGTGGTTACGCGGTGGAACTTCTCCCGCTTTTTTCGCATCATTCTAGACTACTGATATGCCTAAGCGATTAAAAAAAGAAAAAAATTCAGGAAAAACAAGCCCTAGGGATCTAGATTTTGACTGCCTTTTCGTGATAAAAGCAAATTCCAAGCTATTTCGTGGCGGCATCCGTCTAGCACTTAAAATTCTTAGCAACTCTTCGCCCTCCGCATGCTGATTCGCCGCAGCAGACCAGGCCAAACGACACACAGCACAGCAGAACTCGTTTTACTTCTTTTCATTTATGTTGTTCTCTGGAGCGCGTTGTGCAGCGTACATTTTGCTCTTTCATGCGTGTGCAGATGCTTGATCCAACTGTGAAAAAGGCGCCTTCATTACATCCCTGACGCAGCCGGGGTGTTGTAAGCCACCGTGCTTTGACGACGCCTACATGATTCCTACGAAGAGATGCCCGATTCGGTTTTTTATGGGCAAAATAAAAATCAGATGTACCAAAACGGACTGATTTCGACTAAGAGCAGAATATCATAGCTGGCTGAATCTTCCAGCAAAAATTTAATTTCATTTTGAGTCTTTCGGAAAGGCACTGAAAATTCAAGATATCTGAATGCTTTCCGAGAGAGGAGGATGCTCAAAGAGCTCAGTTTGCAGAATATCCTCTTCGAGACGGCTAAACTGTCGTATATGTTTGGAAGAAGACAACGAGATCAACATGATTTCACCGTGTGAATGCCGCGGTTCCGTAGAATTTGTGCATGAACGATGTCTGCAGCACTGGTTTGAAGTGATGCACACACGAGTATGTTTCAACGGACTCCGACTGTTGACGCCCTCAGCACAGTTGGCCAGGAACAGTAATCTCAAAGCTCATCCAGAACGCTAGTATTACTCAAGAGTAGTCAGCAGTGCAAAGTAACATTATCAAACAGCTTAAAGTATGGCTCTAAAAGTACAGTATCTCTTAGTTCTTGAGAAAATTAAGCCAAACGCGCATCCCAAGCAACACCATCATAAAATTCTTTGTTAAATCTTATGTGATTTTGGGAATATTTCGATAAAAAACACGATTCGAAAGTAGTATGACTAAACAGAAGAAACTGGTTGAAACCGAAAGGCCACCAACGGTGAACTCCACAGATTTACGAAACTACGAACAGTCTCCGTACCCTTCCCACCTTCCTGTCCCACCATTTCTCGTCCTTCATTCCCCTTGCAACTTTTATCAGTACTGACGGAAATCGGTTTAGTGATTGTGGAAGCACAAGGTGTCCAAACACTGGTCTTAAAGCCGGACAGCATCAAGGGGGCAGTAACAAACAGCTTTATTATTAATGTGTTTCCAAATTACCATTCAGCGCTGTCAAATATGCAAAACGGAGTACGAGCTAGAAGACCGCGGGATGAAGCCGTACACGGAATGGACACTGCCTGCACCACTGAGCGACGACTGGGAGGATCAGCTCGACTTCAAATGCGCCCTGTTTTGGCTTGTATTCATGTCACGCATTACATACGTGGTACTCAAGTAAGCTATGCATCCACCAACTTATTCATTCATTTTGAATTTAACGAACATATAAATAAATAGCGCACCGACTGCCGGTGCGAAGACGAGTTTTTTGCATAGTTTCCCGCAGACTTTTGTCGCTAACGGCACTGTTTTTTCCGGCAGATGCTTCTA